CACGAGAAGTACGGGTGAGAATGAAGAGAGAGAAGAAAAAATAAGAAGACAGAAAAATAGCAGTTATTGTTTTCAATTTGGAAATGGTGTAATTGGGATATTTATGGAAATCTATGTGCACCATATTATCTATAGAATTTTTCTTTTTAAATAGGTTAGTTATGTATTTTCCCCTATTTATCTTAACAAAGATATAGAAAAAAAAATAAGGAAGCTGAGCCAAAGAGAGGTGGGAGATCGTTTGCAAAATTGTGGACACAAGACAAGGATATGTTGCTTTGTCGAGCTTTCTGCACTATCTCGAGTGATCCGATAGTTGGGGCTCAACAGAGTTTAGATGACTTCTGGAGGCGAATCACCCAATACTACAATGAAAATGCTCAAGCTTGGAACTTTATTGAAAGGTCCATGGAGTCGGCAAAATTTCATTTCTATGCTTTTCATGGAGATTGTCTAAAATTCAATGCATCAATAAATAGGTTTCGAGCTGACCAGAGGAGTGGCGAAAATGATGCTATTATGTTACAAAATGCATTAATGGAGTGGAATAGTGATGGTAAGAGAAAATGAGCCTTCAAATGGTTCTACTGTTGGGAGATTCTGAAAAATAGTCCTAAATTTCAAGCCGGTCAACGACAAGTCGAGGAGGGAAAAAGTCTAGAACGTCTGTATCTAGAGATCACACTTCTGGATCTAGCCAAGATTTGGAGCAGGGTTGTGATGATGATGAGAGATATGTGCGTCGCCCAATTGGTCAGAAGGCAGCAAATGCAAGGAAGAGAAAGGTAAAATGTGGCATGAGAAGTAACACTGATCAGAAAGTTGAATGTATGTTAGAAGTTTTTAGGCATATTAAGGATATACATGAATAACAACATGTTGAACTTAAAAAGTTGGTTCGTATGGAGTCTTGGAAGAGCTATCGAGAAATGCTAAAGGAGGACACTTCAGCAATGACTGAAGAAGAATTAGAAGCTCACTATGCGCTTCTTGCTGAACTAAAAGAGGAATTGAGCCTGAATTGAATTTTTAATGATTTTCTAATGATGATTATGTATTGTATTTTATTTTAATTAATTTGTGTTGTCCTTAATTTTAATTTGTACTTGTTTTTAATTTTTATGTACTCGATTTCTCCTTTGTGTTTTAATTTAAAATTTTATCATATTTCATTTTATTTTGGGTACCATATTCTACATGCACTAAATACATGTCCATGAAATACATTATTTATTTATATGAAAATTCATTGACAACCAACCAAGAAGTAAAGTAGGTATAGTGATGGGCACACGTGATTCCCACCTAACTTAGTAGATAATATCTTTTCGCATTATAAATAGATGTCATTTCGTGGATTCTCATACACATTACCATCTTCACCAAATAATTTCAAGTTCTGCATCTTATTTGACTTATCTTTTGTAGTATTTTATAAATTTTCTTCTTTTAAGATGTTTAGGAATACCAATGGCAGAGTAGCGTATCGTGCTTTCCTAAAAAATATGCTTGATGATTCTCTGGTGCAGGCTGAATTTTCCATGATGGAGGCTGTGATTAATTAGTTTGAAGAAGCCGAACAAGGTGAAAATTCAAGTAGGCGAGAAAGGCGAGTAGTCCATCGAGGTCGTGATGTCGGACTTATTATACTTATAAGAGATTATTTTGCTACCGAACCCACCTATCACGAAGGCTTCTTCCGTCGTATATTTCGTATGTCGAGACGTTTATTTTCTCGTATTGTTGATTCAATTGAAAATTATTCTGATTATTTCCAGAGCAAAACAGATGCATCCGGTAGACAAGGCTTTTCACCCATTCAGAAGTGTACTGCAACCATACGCCAACTAGCATCGGAGCACCTGCCGGTCAATGTGATGAATACTTATGCATATCTGAACAAACAACAAATAGAAGTCTTATGGAGTTTTGTCGAGCTGTGTGTGAGGTATTTGCATCTTAATATTTACGCTCACCTAATGCTTCTGACATCCAATGACTACTTACATTGCACGAGGAGAAGCATGGTTTTCCCAGAATGTTGGGGAAAAATTGTCCTGGGAAAAATTACTACTTACATTGTATGTACTGAGAGTGGAAAAATTATCCTGTTGCTTTGCAAGGCTCGTACACTCGAGGAGATCATGGTGTACCAACGATAATGCTTGAAACAGTAGCCTCATAAGACTTGTGGACCTGACATGCATTTTTAGGACTTGCTGGGTCACGAAATGATATTATAAATGTATTGCACGAGTCCCCATTGTTTAACGATGTCTTACACGGGGTAGCACCAGAGGTAAATTTTACAGTTAATGGGACCCAATTTAATAAGGGATATTATTTAACAGATGGCATCTATCTAGAATGGGCAATGTTTGTCAAGAGCTTCCAGAGCCCAGATGATCCAAAAAGAAAAAAAGTTCAAGCAACGACAAGAGGCTGCAAGAAAATATGTTGAGCGTCCAGTCAAGATGGGCAATTGTACGTGGCCTGACTCGCTTTTGGTATAAAGAAGACCTTAATGAAATAATGTTAGCATGTATTATTTACATAATAGGATAGTTGAGGATGAGGGTGATGAGGCAACAAAATGGTCCACTGATGAGACTGAGCCTCTAGTCCAAGCACGACATGGCAATCCAAGAAATTTTCGTCGGTACTTACAAATAAGAGCCGAGATGTAAGATCGACAAGTCCATCATCCACTTAGGCATGACCTAGTTGAGCATATCTGGAATGAACCTTATTAACAAAAGTATAATAATATGGTTAATCTATGTTTTATTTCATCTTACCTTCTACGTGCAATATTATGTATTTTTTTTCTTTATTTGAAATTGTAAAAGCACCCCAATTTTTATTAGCATTTATTCTAATTTGAAAAAGCTCATTTTCATCTTTTATTTTTCGACAATCCATCTATCTCGTTCTTGTACCATAAAATTGATTTTTTGGATACTAAAATAATTCAAATTTTATTTTGACGAAAATGACATACCTTTACTTCTATCTTGTTCGAACAATGTTTGTTGGCGTTCATTCTACTTCAAAAAAACTCATTCATTCTTTTTTTCCGAAAACATACTCACTCATTCTTATACTATAAGATTGAATTAATTTGATTTGTAATTAATTCTAATTCTATTTTAATTAATAATATATATTTATAAGTAATGAAATATAGTTATTATGTAATTATATTATTATTTTTTATATGTATTTATGATAAATAGACTAAATACTTAGATTAAATGAAAATAAAAGTGAAGTTATAGTTTTACAATATTATAAAATATAAAAATATAATATTAATTATAAAAGTAAGTGGGAAATATGTGAGACCCATAAAAAAGAGGTTTATGAGGTTTATTGTTATTGGAGGTTTATGTAGTTAAGAGTAAGAATATGATTTTGGCTGATGTGGCATATTGAGAATAGAGAAATGAGGTTTGTGTATTTGTGTTACTAGAGATGCTCTAATGAGGCGCAGGAACGGCCACCACGTGGCAACTCAATATCCATCTACACGAAAAGGAATAAAATGAAGAAAATTGATTAGTGGGAAAGAGCTGTTTTAATGAGTCAATGACAGTATAGTAATTTGAAATGTATATTTGTTTATTAGGAAATTAATATCCTTGAAATTGTAGAGGAATTTGCAAGTATTGTATAGCCTAGAAAAAACATAAGCCTGTCACGTGTAAGAAATCAACCTCCCTTTATTAAGATGTAGAGGGATGTTCTGATATGTAAATTCAATCTCAATATTATCCATAAACCGTATATAAAACGAATCATAAAAAATTACAATTTAAGAAATAATAGAAAACATAAACCACAGAACAACCTTACAATGAGAAATAGTATATTTATAATTAATAAATAAATTACACTTTGTAAGTATAAAAATAAAAAGAGATAAAGGAGTTAATTTTCTTTAAATAGGATGATGTATCATTTATGCAAGAATTGATGTACTGCGTGAGCTTCTCATACTGCCAAAAGTGGCTCTAATTGGGAGAACATGAAAATCCATTTCTCAAAGTTTGTCTCTCAGTTTTCATGAATTGGTTTTGCAAAAAGTGAGTATCTGGGTTGGCCTAGACTGACTGGGCATTAATTTACTTTATAACAAAATGGGCCAAGCTTCTTTGCTCTGGGCCACAGCTCCGAACTTGTTATTAGGCTTTGTACAATTAAAAGAATGATAGTTTAAACTTTAAATATTAACCTTTCTAAAAATATTGCAACCTTATACACTTTTATTATTTTAAATTAACAAACTATTCTTTTTTAAGTTTATGTTTGGTTTATCTATAGTTTATAACAAGTTTATATTATCATATCCGTAACATGCATGACAAAAAAAAAATATTCATATATCAAACATAACTTTAAATAAACATTGCTCTCTGGAAAAAGTTTGAAACTTCTCAGTATCCTACACCTACGAACGGAAAAACCTCCCATCAGAAAACAGAGTTAAGAAATAATAGGCGGACCGGTAGGTAGAGGACGTCTGCAGCCTCTGGCTCGATTTGTACAAACGGGTCATAACCAGAATTCAAGCCAAGGGCATAGTCAGGTTGTTGAGGGCATACACTTTTAGAAGGTTCTCAGTTTTCTGGAGTGGTCTCGCACGAGAGGATAACCTCGCCAAGGACCAGTGCCTGGTCGAGAAAAAGGTAAAAAAATTATGTAAAAAGGGTAAAAAATGGGATGTGAGGAGAAGGGGATACATAAGCTGATAGGGAAAATCGTGCAACGGTTTAAGATCTTTGATCCGGTCTCCAGATGGGGATATGATGGTTTATGATATCAAAATGCTGCAAGGAGTGGTCGAGCAGTTTGTGATTTGCGACGCATGATGGTTTACGATATCGATTTGCTGCATGGATTAGGGTACTAGTATAACGTAAATATTTATTAAGCTTTTGGTATAATTATAAATAAAAATTAAGATTAGTATATGTGCAATTATTTAAGAAGAGTCACGGCCTAAAAGAGCCTTAAAAATCCCTGTCATCATCCCAAAGGGGAAAAACAAAAAAGAAAAACTGCATGTCAACACACACATTACATATAGTTTCTTATATCATAACCTTTGATCGATCTTTCTACTCCCCATTTTTCTTGTAAAACCTTACATCCATCTTTGTCCTTTTCTACAATTAATAAAAGAGGTTTGATCCTCAGTTCACAATGCATGTCTACTACTTGTATAAATAAACAAATTAAGTAAAAAAAAAATAAAAATGTAAGGCCATCAATCAACCATCAAAAGGCAGCACAATGCGAGGGCAGACCGGTATCGTGATGGACTGCCACGACCTCATTGGGCTTGCACTCGAGCACATCCTGCCCCAGCTTGGCCCCTGCCGCCTTCAGCCCCTTGAGCGAAAGCACCCGATTAAACAAATTCAAAGACGGCAGCTTAGAAGCAGGCGGCAGCTTCCCATTAGGCAGAAACTCGCGGAAATCCCTACGAAGCAGCGGCACCTCGAAATCCGCCTTGTCGTGCCTCACCACGTTGTCCTTGGCGCTTATGTGTGCCCCCGGCTCCATGTGGTTGGTCGAGAAGCTCGCCTGGTTGGGGAAGTTTGGGTAGAGGCTGACGTATCCCCTGAGGTACATCATGTCGATGAGAAACTTCTTCCACGAGGCCTGCCACCCGTTGGTCCTCGACTTGGGGATCTGCACCGGGTTCTGCTTGGCGTCCTCCGTGAAGCGCATGTTCATGTACACGTAGAACTCGCGCCACTGCTTGGGGAAAAACACGGCGCCCCAGCTGCAGGGGAGCTGGTGGAGGTAGGGCGTGTTTGGGTGGATTCGGCTGAAGAAGGCGGTGGCGTTCCACTTGGGGCGTTCCTTGACGACCTCCACCAAACGGGGCGTGTAGAGGGAGATGGACGAGAGCTCCGGGAGAGAGACTTGGGGATCGTAGTGGTACGCGAGAAGGGCGTATTTGACCCAGAGATAGTAGTAAGGGGAGACTTCTATGTCGTCCTCGAGGAGGAGGCCAAAGTCGTGGTCCGAGGAAGGGTACCAGCTCTCGCTCACTGCGCGGATAAGCCCGCCCTGGATTATGCGCCGACGCTGGGTTTTGGGGCCGTGGGGCCACGCGAAGGAGTCGACCAACTTAAGGGTTGCCGAGTCAACTTTGCTGTCCATGTTGAACGTGATCGGGACCTCGTCTCCTAGGTAGAAAGCGGACGAGAGGGAGGTGAGGAGGCGAGTCAGTGATTTGGCTCGGTTCTGGGTGATGATGCTGATCGACAGCCGCATCTTGTTCCAGTCTGCGGAAGATGAAAAATATAATTGTCAACTTTGTATATAATAATTAATATATAGCATAGTAGAAGGTAATAATTAAGGAAAATCTTACTAGGCAAGGCGGTTGAGCGGAGGTCAGCCATCCAGAGCGCCTTGGGGACGGAAGCCCTAGGCAGGAGCACCAAAGCCGTCCCGTTCCCGCCGCCCTCCGTCACCATCCTCAAAGCCCTCTTCACGTTGGAATCGATATCAGAAACCGTGACTACCACGCTCGGGTTATGCATCCCTACCAAACCTTTCATGCTCGCGTGCACACCTTGCACAAGGGGCACCTCGGAGTCGGAACCCCCCGAGAGTGCCCCGAGCCCCAGATCAAAAATCTTGAACCTTCTCTCTCTGCACACCGACTTGGGCCACTTGAGGGCCAAGGCCGCATCCTCGCACGGGCAGAACCGCCCTCCCGACACCACAAGGTACGCCTTTTTCCCAACGGTGGCTCGGAATTTTTCGAGGAGTGGGGCAAGTGCCTTCACCTCGCCCAACGAGTGGGCATAGAAGAGGGCATCGATCTTCTGAGGGTTCATGGCGGCCCACTGGGTGATGTAGCCTGTGGTGAGGGCCTTCCACCACTGCTCGTCTCGCACCTGGACAATGTCTTTGAAGATGACGGTTGTTTCTGACACATAGGCCAGTCGGTGCTCGCTATCCCCCCACGTCTCCTTGTCGTTGGGGTCCACGGGAAGGACGTACGACCCTGCGTTCCGATACTTCTGGAGCTGGTAGCTGTGTGTCGACAAAAATTTGAATTAAATTAAAAAAAAAAATTCTAGTTATCCCCATCAAGTTATTACAGATAAAGGACACCTAAAATCTTTTCATCACAGTCACTACTGAAACTAACGAGTAATGCTAAGGTACATAACAATAATGTACACAATGGCGGACCTAGGCACGGCCCCTGAGCAATTTTTAGAAAACATTAGTACATATATAATTATATTATAAAATAATTATAGAGAGATTTTTTTAAAATTTAAGATCTTTGCATTTTGTATTTATATTATGTTGGAGGTAACGTATATAAATGAGTTACATCAATTTTCCACAAAAATCAACATTGATTTTGATACATATTGAATTTTATTTGTTGTTAAAATTATAATTATAAGTTTAAAAGTAGCTACTAAATTGTGTTTGTCATTGACTTTTTAATAAAGAAGTCCACGAATGCTGACGTTGTAAGAATATCCAATGCAAAAGAAAAAAAAAATGTTGGTATTTGAAAAAAATATATATAAGGAGATTTAAATTTATGTAATTATGAGTGATATAAAATATACAAGAACATGTAGAGAATAACTATTATTTTTTTTTTTCACTTTGTAAAAGTTACGTTTATGCCCCCTTAGTCATGTGAGTTTGCGTCTGCCCCTGAATGTACATAGAGGTGTACATAACACTCACATTGAGCGGGTCCTATCAAAAATAAAAAATTAAATGAACCTACTCCATGTGAGTGTTATGTAATATAATAAATGTACTTATAGCATTTTTCGAAACTAAACCACTAAAGCAAGAAACAAAGATTGATGTACCTCAAGTGCAAGTCCTCCCCTGTCATGAACGTGAACGGTGTCTCGATAAAAAGAGTCTTCACGAGCTCGGCCGACAAGAACCACGAGCTCGACAAGAAGTCGACCTGCACGACCCTATCAATGGTGATGTCGTAAGCCGGGTCTGGCAGGTAAAGCCCGGCCTCTTTTGACCGGAACTTTCTATAGCTCGGGAATGTGAAATCCTTCTGGCGAAAGGGCAATATTCGCCCGATGCTCCCCAAGACCGAGTTCTTGTACTTTTCTGTCCCGGCCACGTGTGACAGAATCTGCAGCATTTTCTTGCCGGGTATCATGTCGTCGTCGAGAATGTAGACGAGGTCGGCCTCCGTCTGCAGGGCCATCTGGAACCTTCCGTAGTACTTGAAGTCGTAACTCGAGCTTATGAAGCTGATTTTCGAGTTGTTGTGGCTCTCGACTATTCTCCTCAACGAATGCTCGTTTGGGCTCCCGAACGAGAGCACCCAAACATGGTGGAAGGGAAGCGTCTGGTGAAGCAGAGACTCTATCTGAGCGCAAAGCGTCTTCCGTTTGAAATGGTTGAGGATGACGGTGACTTTCGGGGTGTTGAGGGGCCCACTCATGTCCCACTTGGACTTCATCGACATTAGCTCAGTCAATGTCTCGGTCCCGAAGCTCTTTTTCTGGAAATCGAGCACCTCCTGATAAAGCTCAGTCTTGAGCTTGATCATGAGAGCGTCGTTCGACTTCTTCTGGACAAAGTCGATGGTCTCGTGCTCACACACCTCAGACGGAAGGCCTGGGCCAGGCTGTTGGTAGTGGCTGACGGACATGAAGTGGGTTCTCCACTGTTGGGCGAAGCGCGTGGCCCAAGAGAAATCGGGCCTGGCCCGAAGGTCGATGGACGGGCTCATGAAGTAGAGGAGAAATGTGGCGTAGATGGCGAATGCAAACTGGAGGCACGTGAGGACGGTGACGAGTCGAGCGGACGAGCCCTTTTGGGGCCTCGGCTTTATACCGCTCGACTTTGTCCCCATGTAATCGTGCAGCATCCCTTCGAAATACTCTCCACTTCTCATGGTCGGGGTTCGGGACAGGAAGCCTATTCCCCTCATGTAAACTCGGCAAAACCTGCGAAAAATGCAACTTAAGTAAAAATAATAGATCAAAGAAGTAGGCCTTGAAAACGAGAATTTGTATGTTATTTGACTTGAGGGGGTTCGAGATTTGCGAATACAGAGTAATTAAGTTGAAATAAAGTGGTTGTATTAGTGATGAATAATGTGGAAGTTGATTAGCATATATAGAAAGGGAGAGGGAGAAGTGTGAGGAAAGTAATAAAGTGTGTTTGAGGGGACCGTGGAAAACGCAGGCAATGGGTCACATCACATGGGGTTAGCAGTCTAAAAAGGAAAACAAATATAAAAAAACTAACGATAGATCATAGATCATCAATGTGAACTCACTTCTCCTGCACATTCTTCACACACAATATCTCCAATTAAGGAGATCATTTACAATAATAATAATTAAGGGAAAGCCTTCAGTGACGCCGCTGAAAGAGGTCACCCCATGCATTTTTTGGCATCACAATTTTTTTTTTTTTTTTTTCAACAAATTTATTGCTTTTGCGGGAAAAATCCAAGATTTAGGAATGCTGCAATATAAAAAAGGTTTACAATACTTAATGCATTGAATCACATGAGCCCAAACAGTCAGGTGATGTTTCTCTTTAGGACAACTCAAAGCCTCACAGTTTCCCAACTTTCTTAAAAAAGGACTATAAATCATAAAAATTGTCAACATTGATCCCAAAAGGCATTAAACTTTAAAACTTATTGTTTTAGCAAAAGATAAACATATCATATGCTTTAAAACTAGAGAACATGGGCTTATAATTATAAAATATATACATAATAAAGAGTCATAAATATATACCTCGATTGCAAAAAGAAATGTATGGCTCAAGAAAATTGTTCAGCAAAATATAAGATCGGTGACCGACGTGGAGTCCTTTTCTTGTTGAGCAAACTATGGACTATAAAAGCTTAGAATATGCAGCCAATGGAATTCAAATTAAGCTATGTAAATTCATTATATATAATATAGTGAAAATAAAGGGAATATAATGTAACGGTGGGAAGAGATTTGACTTTTTTGCTTATTGCTTTTGCCAAACTTTGTCAAGTTTACTAAGCTATTTTTTGTTTTCCAATTATTGTTATTTATCTCGCGTAGTGGTGGATTCAAAAATGTACGACTTTTTATAGAGGAGTTAAGCTGGAAGCTCTATCTTGAATTTTTGGAGTTTCTTGATCTTTGTTTAATCATTTTTTTGTCTGCGAAGAGAGAAACTAAACTCAAGATAAACTACAAGAATAGTTAGGTAAATCGAATTGATCAATTACGATCAGCGGAAGTTTTGTAGAATTGTTATATAGTAATTAATGTTTTTCACGTGCACATGCGAATTTAAAATATGCTTCATATGGCGTCAAACTAAGTACTAATTAATGGATGTGTGAATTGAAGGATATGAAATATATATACATATATACTAGTACATAGCACGTGCGATGCACGGGACACATATATTAATTGAGTTATTTTTATAGGGCTTGTACGCTCTGGCAAAAAATAATAGGGTTGGATCATTAATTTTTCACTTCTTTCAATCAATGATATTTTATTTTAGTCATAACGTTGACATTTTAATTAATATATCATTATGCTAACACGTTGCACTAATATAAATTTGATTATACAATATACATTTATTCATCGATATAAAAAAAAAATTATACTTATTATTGTTCACCATATAATACTCAATTATTATTTTATTATAATATTTGTTGTCATATAATGTCATTATTATTATTATTATTTATAAAGGTTTTAGAAGTAGTTTTCTTCTTCTTAGTTATGTAATGAAGTTTAAAATAAACTTTTGTGAAGTTTAAAATAAACTTTTGTGTATAAATGTTTACAAAATACACACACATGTTTTTTAGAATTTAATTTTCTCATAATAATTAAAAAAATTAGATTAGAAAATTGTTAAATAATAAACCCTTACACAATCAAGAAATTTCTAATTTGCATCCCAATGCTTTATTAGTTTATTTAACATACTATGCAATATAAATATATATTTTACAATAAAACTAACTAAATATGAAAACAAATAAAAACAAAAAATGATAAAATTATCATGGTTGATAATAATATACAAATAAATCAAATGTTTAAACTATAAAGAATAGTTAACAAATTTTAGTTTTATTATTTAGTCATTAATAAATTATTTAATGATGTAATCATTATCTCGTAAATGATAAATTATTTTAATTTTAAAAATTATTTGTTTTAATAATTAAATAAAGGTTAAAAATATTAATTCGCCAACTTGATTCGGCTAATTAGTTAGACGGAGAAAATTATTTAACATTTACGATTGTTTATAAATATTTTAGGCTGAAAGTCAACATTTGTGAAAAAAGTTAAAAATATGGTTAAGACTTAAAATTTGTTTTCATGTTTATGTTGACCAAAATATTACCAACACCAATCACGAAAAATCAAATTATAGTTTATTATAATGAATATCAATAGAATTATTGCATTTTTAATAAGATTAATAAAGGGAAGAATCTTTTTAATCACATCTGATTTGGAAATGTGTATATTAAAGCAATTAATGCATATATTTAAAAAGTTTCTAAATAAAGTATGCATTAAATGTTCATTGAATTTTTTGCTATTATTTTTAGTAAATGATTATTCTTTTTATATAGATATAGATGTGGATCAAATGAGGACACTTCTTAAAATAATCAATACGTGAGACTCAATTTTAGCTATTCATTTTTGTGTAGATCAATGACTCACATTAATCAATTGAAATATACATTAATTAAATAAAAAAATATTAATTATTATATTCAAATTAAATACATAACAAAAAAATATAATTTTGTTGACCGGCGTTGACCGCCGGCCGGCAGGCCGTTGACCGATGTTGACCGTCGGCTGGCCGGCCGTTGACCGACATTGATCGCCGGTCAGAGGCGAACAGGATTCTGACGACCCCGTTTTCAGGCGTTGACCGGCCGCCGGTGATTCCAACTCTGTCCGACAGGCGATGGCGGCGGAGGAAAGTGGTGGCGACGGGCGACTGGTGAAGGGTGACCAGTGAATTTGTGTGAGTTCTCTGTGTGTGTGTGTGTGTTTATGTGTGATGTGCGTGTCTCTGTGTGTGTGATATGTGTATGTGTGTGTGTGTGTGTGTGTGGCAAGAGATTATTAGGTCATGGACTGAGATAAAAGCTTTTTTTTTTTGTTGCCATTAGATGATCAGATTTAATGGCTAAGATGTATTCTTATTTCTTTCATTGAACATCATTTTTCACTTGAGCCAACCCTATATATAAGTGGATTCAAATGAGAATGAGACAGAATGAAAGAATCAGAATAAATTTGTACCATAGAATCCAATCGACGATCATGATCAAGTCAAAGTTTAACAATGACAGGCATACATGTGATGGCATTCTAGTAAATTAGTGTACATATTATAGTCAAATGTATAAATTTTACCCCTTAATAAGGACATTCTGGTCACTATACACTCACCCACCCAGCAACAATGATCTCTCTCTCACACTTCTACACACATATCACACAATCTTACACATATACACACACACACACACACACACACACACACACACACACACACACACACACACACACACACACACACACACACACACACACACACACACACACACACACACACACACACACACACACACACACACACACACACACACACACACACACACACACACACACACACACACACACACACACACACACACACACACACACACACACACACACACACACACACACACACACACACACACACACACACACACACACACACACACACACACACACACACACACACACACACACACACACACACACACACACACACACACACACACACACACACACACACACACACACACACACACACACACACACACACACACACACACACACACACACACACACACACACACACACACACACACACACACACACACACACACACACACACACACACACACACACACACACACACACACACACACACACACACACACACACACACACACACACACACACACACACACACACACACACACACACACACACACACACACACACACACACACACACACACACAGAGTTTCAAGCTCGTCGGCACCACCGCCCGCCGCCACAACCTTCCCCTTTCATTCACACACAAGCAGTAGCCACCACACCTATGTCGCCACCCACCCCTGTCGGCTGCCACCCCCCGCCCAGCCCGGGCATTGTCACAAGAACCGCAGCCGCCGCAGTTCCCCGTTGCCATTAGTCCATCCGCAATAGCTGCCCTCGCAACCACCAGCACCCACCATCTTCGCCACCGCCATCCACAGCCTTGCCAGTCAAGTAGCCCGCCGTTATAAGACCCGCCTCAGTCACAACTTTACTCCTCTGTTGGCATCCTCTATCTTTCCATCAGTACATCTTACTCTCTTCCCTCATCTCACTTTCGCATATTAATTTCAGCATCTCAGTGAAGATATTGCAACAGTGCACATGAATCGAAGTCGGAGCTAGCGCCGGCACCAGCAAGTCAGCCTCCAAAGTAAAATTGATTTCAAGTTCATAAAAATTGATTTGTGGTGGGTTTTTTCTATGAAAATTGGTTAAACACTGGGGACTTGTATGCAATTTGAAGTTTTAATATAATGCACTTTAGGTCCAGATAAATTTGCTCTATACTGCACAATAATAATACGTAAATTGCACAATACTATGTGAAGTCATGAACATTTAGAAACCTGTCATAACATTACGAAAATACATAATTTCACAGCCTACACATTTGAAAATTCGTAAATTTACCAAATTTACACTTCGTTAGTGTTATTTATCGGTTAGCTTGGTCGAACCAACCGATATAAATTTCAAAACTAAAATAACTGAGTTCAATTCTCAGAAAAACCAATTTGATTGAACTTCTGTCCCAAACAAAACTAGTTCCAAAAATAATAATCAATTTATTCGATCGGTTATCCGATTTTAACGAATATAATGGAAATAAGTTGCCATTTATATTTACGAAAACGTATATTAGTATTTTAATATGTTATTTAATATTTTATATTATTCATAGTAAAATATAAAAAAAAAAAGATTTCAAATCGAAATGACCAAAATTGTAAAATTAAAAATTGATAGTCGAACTGTCCTACAAAAAATGAACTAAAATTTTTATCGTGGTCGGGTTTTCGGTCATTTTATTCGGTTTTCATCGAACTTTGCACACCACTATCTGTGCTACGAAATGCACAATATTGACAAATTAAACGAACCTTATTACCTATGTAAATGCACGATAATACCTGAGTAAATGCACAATATTACATTTGTACATACACAATAGCGTAATAAGTGCAATTTCATATTCACTAATGTCAGTTCATCTAATTAGTTTATGCAGTCCATAGACGTAATATTTTTTATGTACATATATACAATAGTATATTTTTTCATTAATTTATTTAATAAATTACACATTTATCTCATGAATTAGATTACAATATAATTAAATTTCCTAAAATTTAATGCATGTAAAAAATGCGTAATAGTGTACTTTTAATTTTGTCACGATGGGTCAACACGTAGAATACATTGTTGCGTTATTGTGCACTCTCTAAATCACCAATGTGCATTTAGTTATCATTACTGTGTAGTCTGCACACATGTATTTTTTAATGTACATAATATTGTAAAAGTTTACTATATTAATTAAATATTCATTTATTATTTTTTATAAATTACAGTTCGGCCACATGAACCAAAATGAAGTATAATCAATTTTTATAAATTTGCAACTAGGTCCCCTACAAGTATCAAATTTCCTAAAAATAACTCTAATCAACAAAATTTTCTGCCCATCTCTGTTAGGTGGTCCTCCCGTCAGCGCCCGACGCGGACCACGTAACCGCGATGCTGGACAAGGGGATTTCTCTCTGCCATGCCTCTGTCCATTGATAGTTGCGGAGGAGTCCAGTCGTTTGCGTCTGGCTCGTCGGCAATCTCAGGTCTTAGGATGAGCAGATGATTAATGAATTAGAAATGGTGTGACATTGTGGTGGGTGCATACAGTGACTGAAGCAGCGCCGGAGCAGACTAAAGCCACGGAGACGTCGGGGACGAGCAGATGCAGCAGCCGTGTTGGGATGCGACAACGACAAATGAGATGAATAAGCGCCGGCATCTGGTGGCTGTGGGGCGGCAATAGGTTGGCGCCAGTAGGATGTCGAAGGTGAAGGGATGATCAGCATTGTGTATAGTTGTGTGTATCTATGTATGCAGGAGTGTGTATTGTTTGTGTGTGGTGTATGTGTGTATGAGTGAGAGAGGGGGTGCGTGGGATGGTGTAAGTAGAGTGGCCACGTGGCATGTAATTATTGGGTATGAGTGAGTGGGCAATTGGTATGAGTCCCACGGTTTGATAATAAAATGCCCAAAATACCCTTATTGAATATATAAATGCTGGGTTTTTTGTTACCGTTGGAGCATCTGATCTGTCGGCTAAAATTTATTCTTATTTCTTTCACAGAGCACAATTCTCAATTCATAATCAACACTGCCTCCGCCGCCGTCCGAGGCTCTCCACTGCCAGCTTTTGGCTTTTTCAGCGACAACCGCTCCAACGCTTCTGATCCATAAATTCCCGTCACGAAGGCCGACAGGTACGTCCGCCACCTATGTCCACCGCTTCAAATTGCCACAGGTACCGCCGCGCCTTTCTTCCTTTACCCGACCTGCATCGTGTTTCCCCATGTCCCGCCGCAGACCAACTCTCTGTTGCGCCTCTTGTAGTCGGCGACGTCGTCCAACACATTAACTTCATCCTCTGTAACAACCGCTGCCCCGCCGGACGAGGGGTGATTTTGGGTTCAGTTTGGTGGTGGAAGGGAAGTCCGCGGCCAAGATGCTCCCCCACTCAATGATGTCCAGTGACACGAGAAGAAGCAATTTTAGGGGTGGGTTGATTAGGGTGGGAAGAAGCCCAATTTCAAAAATTAGGGCCGGGAAGGGGGTATGCTTTTTTTTGTAAATTAGGTAATTTAAAGGGACTTAATTGTAAATTAAAAAGTTTAATTATATGTTTTCCAAAAAAGGTTCCGATTTCGTCCCTTATGTATGCTTGGGGACCTATTTGTAACCTTTTTGCAAACATAAGGGAAGAAAAAAAAAAATTCGAAGAGGACGGAAAAGTTAGGGTAGTGAAACATACAGGACTAAAATTGCAATTTACTCTATTTTTTACAACCAAAAACCATAAAATATTAAACAAGAATACTAATATACTAAAGATATATTTTTATAAAATAAATTATTTCAAATATTTAGGTTAATTCGATTAACCAGCCGAATAATCCAATTATTTCGGTACGATTTTAGTTTGGAATCACACATAAAAAAAAATCGCACTGCAGAATGCACAATAATATGTAACATGATGCACATTAGTCACTGTCAGACTGCATGATAGTGTTATAGCAAATGCACATTCATGCATTCGAGAATGCACATTAACATAGCAATGTTCATTTTTACAAATATTAAAAGTTTGCTTATTTCGGTTCGGTTTCAGCTTTATTTATAAATATATAAAAAACAACACAATTGAGCGAACTATATGAAAAATATTATTTTTATATTTTATCTATATATATTATTTATTTTCAACAAACAAGAATTTAAAATATTTAATAAAAATAATGAATACTAAATATATTTCTATAAAAAATAGATGCACTTCGAGTGCACATTAGTGTTATACGAATTGCACATAAGTGACTCTCAGATTGCGATATAACTACCGAAACGGCCTTTGAGTTTGAATTTTATATTTTGGTTAGATTACCTGTTTTTACATTTAAAGTTTTGGGTATCTCGTATCGATAACAACTTTATTGTTTATAATAGCCGAACCAACCGAACAATGTAAAAAAATATTATTTTATTACATATATATTTTAGGTCTTTATAACAAAAAATAATATAAAATAATAAATAAAAATATTAAAATACTAAATATAGTTTTATAATATAAATTATAAAATATTTAGATTATTTAGGTTAACCAATCAAATAAATCAATTGTTTCGGTTTTAGTTTGGTTTGGGATAAATCATTTAAAAAACTGTATTTCGAGTGCACATTAGTGTTAGACGATTGCACATTAGTGGCTGTCAGATTTCCAAAACCAACCGCAATCGACCGAATTAAGTTTTTGGTTCGAATTTTATATGTTGGGTCGATAATCTTTTTTTACCTTTAAAATTTTAGTTATTTTAGTACGATGTCAAATTTAATTTGTAAAACAACCGAAATCGACCAAACTATATAAAAAATATTTATTTTATTATATTTTTATATAAAAATAATATTGTTCAACCAAAAAGAATAAAAACTTAGATAAAATATTAAAATACTAATTATGATTTTATAATATGAATAATATTGTAATTCCATTATTTATTAGTAACCGACCAAATAAAATAATTCATTTTGTTTGGTTTTAAATTGGTTTGGGATAAAAGATCGGTCGATTTAAATTGCACAATAGCGACCGAAATCATGTACAATATTGTTAGACGAATTGCACATTAATGTATGCTAGGCTGCACATTATTAGGGATTCTATTCATTGTTAATAAGTATTGAACTTTTATTAAATTACATATTTGCCTCAAGTACTAAATTACAATATATTAAAAGTTATGAAATTGCACATTAAGTAGCCAAAACTTATCAAATTTTCATTTGAAAGTTCCCCCCCCCCCCCTCCCACTTGCATCGTCGATTCCACCGGCCACCGCCCAGCTGGTCCTGACGCCGTCGACATAGCTACACCCGCTGAAGTCCTGTTGCCTCTCAAGCCTAGCCCTGATTCTTCTTCCTAGCTGCAAAACTTTCAGCGGTTTCTTACAAATCACTAACCTTCAGCGACGAGCTCAGGCCGGCTCAGACTTATTTCATCCTGTCAGAGAATCTTCATGATCAGCTAATTGTTGTCGACATGAGAGCTCTTGACGGGCTAACAAAATCGGCATACGGCGGCAGCAGCGCGTCTGTCGACAGCGACGACAAGACTAACAGGGCTTGTTGCGTGATGGGTTGTGCCTGCGGCTGGGATGTGGGCTGCCGACGGGTGGGCAGATGTGTGTGACTATGTGTACGTGTGTGAGTGACTGTGTGATTGTGTGTGTGTGTGTATGTGTGTGTGTGAGATAGATAGATAGATAGATAGAGAGAGAGAGAGAGAGAGAGAGAGAGATGGGGATGGGTTTATGGGTGAGGCCTATGAGTTGTTGGTTTGAATGAAATTACACAACTGTCCTCCGAGGTATTTATTTGACCATGGAATAGTCACATATTTCCAATTTTGCCTCTCATTTTTTACCATTGTTACTCAATTTTAACTTCATTAAGTTCACTAGTATGTACCCGTGCGATGCACGGTGGGCGCATAACTTAAAACATATTGA